ACTTTTGAAGTGCAGCAGTTTTGGCTCTTCTTTCCGGTCCAGTATGAAACTTCAAAAGGGAAATAGAATCTTCTTGGTATTCCATATTGTCCTGGCCTCCACTCATTCATGTACCTTCAGTAAAGTTTATAAACTTAAAACAAATACTAGCCATAGCTTACCAAGAGACAATCATGAACAATACACTATCAAGGAGCAATAGACCAGTCACATAATGCATATTAATAGGATCCTCTGAGTTAAGTGGTCTCGTGAAGTCTATAAACTGGAAACCTTCTCCGCTCATTTCTAATAAAGCTATAGTGGAGACGCCCAGCCCCATACAGGTATTAGGGAATATACAACCTAAGAGCTTCAGTGTACTGAAAGGGAGAGAGAGAGAGAGAGCATGTCATTTATTATTTTGATATGTTCTTCTTACCTATTATGTATATCATTATAAAAAAGATGAGGTATGACTGTTAGAAACCAAAATACAAAAGCTGCCATCATGCCAACCTGACTATTATCGAACCACACACTGGAAGAGGAAAGAGAGAGAGAGAAAAAGAGAAATAGAAAGAGAGCGAGAGAAAGAGAGGGAGAAAAAGAGAGAGAGGGAGGGAGAGAAAGAGAGAGAAGGAGAGAGAGGGAGAGAGAAAGAGAGAGAAAAGAAGAGAGAGAGAGGGGGGGGACAAATACTTCACCATTATCTCATCCTACCTTTACCTTATAAAGAAACTAAAGGAGAGTAGAGACACTAGGTAGGCCATCATGAATATAAGCAGTGTCCCAAAATTGGAATTAGGAAAGATGTTGCCATATTTAAACAATATGGTAACGAGTACCACCGGCACTAGAAGAAACAAGAACTGCTTAATGAACCAGGTAGTCCAGAGCATCCCATTACTGAGGCCATTCATTTTGAGGCTTTCACGCAGTCTGGACTCTTTCTCTAGCACAAGCTCCTACAAATAATACAGATATTGGTGGTGATTACATTTTAAATTTTAATTTTGCAATTCCTCCACACGAATCCCCTATTTGGTCCCTGTATAAATGCAGAACTGACCTTAGTAAAGAGTCCAACTGATATAAAGAATGAGACCATCAAACAAAGCGGCAAAATGAATTCAACGTTTGGAAGAAACTGGTCCTCATCAAACGACTTGTGTGGAAATTGCTACAATAAGAGACAGTGAATCACAAAATGCATACACACACACACACACACATACTCATGCATAAATTACTATGTACCCTCATTTCCAGTGCAGGTAGATTAGGCCATGACCCTGTAAAATTTTGCAGCAAAGACTGACTGACTATGTGTTGAAGGTGAAGAAACCCTTCGTTAAAATAAGGACTAGAGAAACAAATAGATGAGTAGCATCAACACTAGTAATGAGAATGAAGCCAACCTGTCATAGACACGAGGGCCTGAAGGGTCGGCTATAGGGGCCCTAAGGGTGGTAAACCAACGGTTAAGTCTTGGATTAAGAGTCGGAGTCTCATGACGTAGTCTCAGGGTGTACGAAACATCAGTATCACTGATATTATTAAATACAATAGCTAGAGAGGGAAAAATAAATATAATAATGCATGTGATGGAATATTTGTTAGTAACATTGTGAATTAATTCCTACTACTACTACTACTTAGAAGTAAAGCTAATCTTACCAGCTCCATTATAAAAGCAACCTCTTTCTCTTTTGTCCAGGTTCTCTGTATTCATTATCAGTCGAATAATTTCATTTTCAGTCCTAAAACCAGTCAGTGTGCTACCGGGCAACCGTGACTGGATTATTCTGGCTATTTCATTAGCTATGAGAGAAAGGAAAAGTGTCTGAAAGACATGAAAGAGTGCAGAATAGCATGGGTCATGTTGGTGGGTCTAGTATATCTAATTGGTTTTCATATTGATTCGCTGAGAATGTGCAAAAGTAAAAGAATGAAACAAAATGATTGGTGGGCGGTTTATTCACAGAAATGCCTATTTGAGGCTATTTTAATATTTCTGCAATCACTGAATAATAGAGACACATAATACTGTAATAGAGAGAAGCAATCTCACTTTTGGTATCATTAGGAGTGTAATAAATATTGTAAGGTCCCGTGAACGGAACTGAGAGCTGGTCTGCCTCAAAAGTTATAAAGCACTGCTCTCTAACTCTAAAAAGTGGTAGGAAATTTCTAGAAAAGAAGGGAGAGAGTAAAATGATAAAGAAATGTACATAAAAGTCTACTTAGTACATAAACAACTTTTCTTCTTCACCTTAATAATACAATTCCTAAAATTATAACAGCAGGGAGGGATAACTCCACAACACTGATAAATGGACGACGAAACTAAAGAAGACAAAAAGAAAAAGATAGATATGGCGGTAGCTCCACCTTTAGTCTAGGGAGCCCACCCACGCACCTGCAAAATGAAATCCTTCTTTAGGACCAAAAGAAAGAGCACTATCTTTCTCAGCAGCCACATCACTCTCTCTCCTCTTCTTGCCTAGTCTTGCATAATCGGAGCATCAGCTCGTTATATTTAAAGGGAGGGTGCATGGTATAGGCTAATTCATGCCCCAGGACTATAACTAGAAAATGTATTGTTAAACAGATTCAAAGAGGAAGGAGGGCTCTGCTAACAATATTCAAAGGTCCCTTATGAGAATTGCTGGCACACAAACTATCTCACACTGTCAGCAGATGCAATAACAAACAAATTGTTATTATTTGTAATACACACACAAACAGTGGAGTCTGGACCTATTAATAGTATTATACACAATGATTACAATTTAAGGTCAAGTGGTGTGACCATAGCTATGAATCATGCTGTGGCAGTGCAGCATGTACATATTGAGCTGTTGATCATTTAAAGCACGTAGGTATAACCTCAAGTTCAAATAACAGTCAAAATAAATATGAACTTTGAAGCAAAATACCAATTTTGTTTTCCCATCTAAAATATGCAATTGCCAAGTTGCTTTTAAAAGAAATTCCAACCATCAATTCTCTCAATAGTAGAGGACAAATAAAAACTTCAACTTCCCTTCACTGCAAAGCTACTGATAATATTTCAAGAGTGGTTTAACATTGTTCTCATGAAAAAAGCAAAAAAAACATTTCACATTGCCAGAGTGAAAGTATGTGAATGTCATTCTTTCTTTCAATAGAACAAACATTTTCTTAGCACAGTTGTTTATTATTAATACATGTCTTCGGGGACATCAAGATCATTATAGCTACGAACTGGTCTTCTACCACCAGCACCTCTTCTCTCAGGTCTACATGTAAAAACGAGAGAGAGAGAGAGAGAGAGAGAGAGAGAGAGAGAGAAAGAGAGAGAGAGAGAGAGAGAGAGAGAGAGAGAGAGAGAGTAATGAGAATAAAATGGAGGTCACACCTTCCTCTAAAGCCCCGTCCACCTCCTCTACCACGCCTAAAGTCATGATAACCTATCAACAAAAATTAGTCAAAAAATTATCACAAAGTTAAAGTGCACGTGCATTTACCAGACATAAGCATTGGGTTTTGATGACCACTCCATCTTCCTCCTCCTCCTCTCCTTTCATCATCACCCCCACCGGTGTGCATAGAGTCCGGCCTCTCTGGATCCTTTAGATAATTATTAAAGAAGTCCGTCTGAAAGAAATAATAATAAAATAATATAAAACGATTATTGCTAAAGACATACGCCATCCTTGACGTCCTCCAGTGCTTGCTTGTGTTTGTTCATGATGTGCTTACGGACAAACTCCGGGCCACGGAACTTTTTGCCGCTAAGAGGGCAGAGGTATTTGTTCTCTCCTAGCTTCTGTGTGTTTGCTTCGATGAACTTCTCAACCTCAGTAAAGGGAGACTGTTAAGGACACATAATACCATGATGTGGTATAGCTGGTCAATTTCATAGCTTGCAAAATTTATACTGAAATAAAAAATATATACATACATGCAACACACTTCACATTTACATGTACGTGTAAATGGTTGAGGGTTCTTAATTTCAACAAATTCAACAGCTTTTTAACCCACAAGAATTTCCAGCAAAACAACAATAGTGTATTAAGGTAGGATATGATTCTTGATCCTTTTTTCCTAATTTCTCAATTTCTTCTTCTTTAACGAAAACTTTCTCTTTAAGCAAAGACTCCACCTTTTCTTCCATCGACTTAATATAAGTATTGACTATTAATAAAAATTATAATAAATCAATGAATATTAATTAGACCACACCTTCTTCATTAGTGACAGCGGTGGGTGGGGCAGTACGAGCAGTTATGATACCACATCTATTAGGCATCAAGTCTTCATCAAAGAAACAAGAAAAATTATAATAATCAAAAGAATGGACCAATCTTAAGTACCATATCAACATATCTAGATTCTAAAAAAAGACAAGAGAAATTAAATTTTTTACTATTCTCTAATTACTTGAATCAAAGCCGAAGAGGATTTCAATATTTCCGTACCAGGATCACTAATCACACCCTCTTCTTCCTCTCCCCTCTCTCCCTCCTCCTCCTCCCCCTCCTTCTCCTGGTCTTCACTGAGTGTGTCTTTATCACTAGTAGGTTGAGCTGGAGAAGCAGTTAAAGCATCAATATCTATACAACTTAGAATCGGGTTCTCCTATTAATAAAAATGCACAGGTAAGTAAAAATCAGTCATTATTATACCTCATAAATATCACAAATAATTCGATATCTTATTAAGTACATGTACATGTAGATTATACCTCCTAATATTCACAAGTAAATCTATTGCTTTACTTTTGGTGCTTCTGTCTCTCCTTTCTCTTCTTCTATTTCCTCACCCTTCTCCTCGTTACTATTATTAGTAACAGACCCATCGTTACTATTATTAGTAACAGAACCCTCGTTACTATCATTAGCAACAGAGTAAGACCACAGGTGGGACTTCTTATCAAAATGGTGTATCAGTTTAACTAAAAGACGCAAATCCGACTCCACGGCCCTCCTTGCCCACACAATTCCATTGGGAGTGGTCTTCACTCGTCTACTAAGGTCTCGGTTTATTTGACAGGTTAACATAAAGTTCTTCACCTACCAAATATAAAGATGGAGAGATAGGTTGTGCGTGTCTGATGATGATTTCAAAATAACGTCTTACTTTCACTGTTCCTAGTTTAGCAGACACACTCTTAATGTCAACGTCCTGACTGAATGTAACCCAGCCTCTCCTCTCAAACCTAAAAAATTAATTATTTAGAAAATAAAATAAAAATAATATTTATTGTAATAAACAATAATTTTCTCTCTCTCTCTTTTCTCCCTCACCCTCTATCAGGCTGAACTTCGGCTAAACCAACTCTAAGGAAACCTTTTAAATTCTTACAAGCCTTCAAAAGGAAGGGACAATGATGGGCATTAATTAGAGTCTCTCACTTCAACAATATCACTGGCAGATACTTGAGGAGTAATGTGACGTATGTACACAGCTTTCGTTAGATGCAGTGGGCGTGGCTTAGAAGGCTCCGCCTATAATAACAAATACAATACAATACCATACAATATCGAGTGAATAAAGGGTTAAATATTAACCTGTTCTTCAACAGGACTCCCTGATTTTGATTGGTCATCTTTATCCTCCGTTCCCATAGTAACTATTTCGGTTTGATCTTCGGACTCAGACTGCCCGGTTTCAGGCTGAGGCTCTTCGCTGGCAGTGGGCGGAGCTGATTCAGACCTCGTCTCAATATCTTGTACTGGCGATGGCTTACCAGTAGATTCATCTACATGTACATATGGGCATTAATCAGGACAAAGTTTAATTAATCAATTGAGTTACCATTATCATTTTCTCTTCTCTTTGTTTCAGTTGGTACTAAGTCATTATCACCTTCATCATCATCATCTCCTCTACCTGTAGCATTATTGTTAAAAATAAATGATTCATCAATTTTGCAAATAGTTTTTCCACAAATTGGCCACTAACCACCCCCAAAATTCTATTGCACTTTAATTTTGATACATCATTAGTCGGAAGTTGTATGAGTTAAATATAAATTGTACCAAACAATGATTATTTACTTCTCTTTGTTCCTCTTCTTTCTTCATCCATTTCTTCACTCTCTTTCTCTTCCTTCCCTTCACTACTGTCTCTCTCAGATACAGCATTGCTACAAGTATCTATTGGATTTTAAAAAGCATTGGTAATTCAGTATACTTGTAGTACACCATGTTACAAAGAGATTAGTATTCCCTTCCTCCCCCTCTCCCTCCCTCCCTCCCTCTCTCCCTCCCTCTCTCTTTCTCTCTCTCCCTCCCTCCCTCTCTCTTTCTCTCTCTCCCTCCCTCCCTCTCTCTCTCCCTCTCCTGATCTCATAATCATTGATGGTAGATATCAACACAAAGTGAACAGTATCATTCATCAGTGTGGTGCATGAGATGTAATCATTGACCAGGAACACTAAAGCAGGCTTTCCCAGAGGATTATGGTTCAAAAATGGCTAAGAGAGGATTCTCAATTTTCATTAAATTTTTCCCGATGCAATACATGTACTTAGGCTGCACAAAAATTTTGAGCTAATTCTGATCAAATTTAAAATATTTTCAAATTCCTAAAGTTGCTCAAGTGCCTATGAAGCTCAGTTCATGAAGCAAGCTGTTTAGCTCACTTAGCTTGCTTTGTAGGACACCATCATGTTAAGTACATTAGTTACATCTCACCACTTTTCTCCTTGTCTCCCTCCTCCTCCTCCTCTTCCTCCTCTTCTAGTGTTTTAAGATCAAGTTCAGTCCCTCCCTCCAATAGTATAACCATGGTATCCATTAGCTTAATAATGGAGTCAGACTCTTCTTGTATCACAGGAGTACTCTTAGCTCTCTCTCTTAGTCCCTCAAACACTTCAAGTCTTTTGAGTAGATTAGCCTTTGATGCTTCTGCTACCTTCTCTATGTGTTTTGGATGGTATTTCGATAGAAACCTAAAACAAAAAACCCCACAGTAAAACAAAAATATCCCTCCATTGCACCATTCCATCCATCTTACTATCTGTACTTTATAATAAATCCAATTCCCATTAAGAATGAAGTGAAGTATGTATATACACGCACACACTCTCTCTTATAACTAGTCAAACCAGTTTTGGTTGGACTAGTTTTTCAAACCAGTATTGGTATGAATATGAGGCACAGTCTTGGCCTTTTATACTCTACAATTACTGTTTATACATAACATGTAAGGTAAATGTAAGAGTTGCGAGAAAGACGGAGACAATGTGTGAGGTTTTAAACTACTGCAAGAAAAATAAAAACAAATGAAATATAACATAGAACTCAGCTCTCTTCCCTAACTATCCTTCTCCTCTCTCTCTCTCTCTCACTCTTCTCCTCCTCTCTCTCACCATTCCTCATCCTTGTGTTCATTGAAGAAATGAAGGATTTGTTTCTTTTTAAAATCATCTTTATACTCATGATAGAGTTTAACTGCTTCCATGTCATCAATCCCATCATCTTGTTGGGCAAGAAACTGCTTGAAAGTGAGCATCACGGATCCTCTCCGACTGGAATCAAACCCTCTAGAACCAGGTGAGAACCCTAGCATCATATCACCAGGCAATGATCTGGTGATAATAACAATAACAATAATAATAATAAATTAATAATAATAATAATAATAATAATAAATTAATAATAATATTATAATAATAATTGTAATAAGAACTAAATTAATGTAAAACCATGACCTCATAACGATTGGTATTTAATTTATCAATTCACCGATTAACATCAGAGTGGTGCATGATGTATAATCATAGGTCATGAACCACACCCACCCATTAATATTCCTTTACCTTGAACCAGGTGAGCCTCTAGGGGGCATCTCTCCATGAGGGAGGACCCACGGGCCCCTCACTTCAATCATACCGTAAGGATTCATTACAGGAGGGGGACCGCCAACCAGCTCCTCCCTTAATTATAATTAATAATCAATTAATAATGAATTAATTAATTAACACGTACCATCCTCCACTTCGTCTGAATCTCTTTGAGTCTGGTGGGCTCCATTCTCTGCGAGACGGGGGAGACGAGTTACGTCCTCTTTCTCTCTCTTCCTCCCGGCTCCGCCTCCTGGCCTCGTAATATTCCTCTCTCCACGAGGGGGCCCTCCTACCATCAGAATCACTTCTCCTTCTCTCGTTACTAAAAATAGACAGTGGGAGATATTTCAAGTTAAAAATATACACGTATTGATTTAAAGCTATGGATGCACCTTGAGTAATCACTTCTCTCTCTTCTAAATTTGTCTCTTTTCTTTCTGTCGTTCTCCTCATCACTGTCCGCCATTTTCTGTACGACCACGTGGTCATTACGTGGTTTATTGGGTGTGGTGATTAGTTCCTAAAGTAGGCGGGGTCATATCTATTGTGGGAGTGGCTTTAAAATGGATTTCAAGAATCCAATGAGAAAGTTCAAAATAGTGTTCCTTGGAGAAGAGGCTGGTAATAATAATTATAATAATTAATAATTATGTATCTGTGTTATCTAGTAATTGATAAAATTAATTGTTTTGCATGTATTTAGTTGGAAAAACATCAATAATCACCAGATTTATGTATGACACATTTGACAGCAATTACCAGGTATGCACTAGTAATGCTAATATTATTACTTGTTACTTGTTTTATGAGTAGGCAACGATTGGAATCGATTTCCTTGCAAAGACAATGTACCTTGATGACAGAACGGTATCGTATTTTATTATTATTGTTGTTATTATTAATATTATTACTATTATTATTATTAACTACTATTGTTATAATAGAAGCATGCAATTACTACAGTACTAAATTATTATTATTATTATTATTATTACTATTATTATTATTATTATTACTATTATTATTATTATTGATAGGTAAGGTTACAATTATGGGATACAGCAGGTCAAGAAAGGTTCAAAGCTCTTGTACCTGCTTACATCAGAGATTCAGCCATTGCAATTGTTGTATACGACATTACAAGTACAAATATTATACCGTATAGCAGGTTTTTTTTGGATAATAATTTTCGTGAATGACCAGTATCCGGAAGTTTGCAAAATTAAGTTTTCAAGCATTTCCACTATTCTGCCATCTTGTACCGTATTAAGTTGATTTTGAAAGAATTTAATTTCACGAATCTTGAAAATTCTGCAAAATTTGTTAGCCTCGAAAAAACCGCTATACGGTACCAACTCACTTCCTTTCCACCCTCCCTCTCTCCTAGATTCTGCCTCATTTGATGCTGTTGATCAATGGATTGAAGACGTTAGGGCAGAAAGAGGCGATGACGTTGTTATCGTTTTAACTGGAAACAAACTGGACTTGGAAGTAAAAGAGGAACAAAATTATTACATTTAAAAATTGACTCTTTACTCCTAATGCTATCGTTTCTTTTTCTTTTTTCCATCTCTCTCTCTCTTTCTCTTTTTTCAGGATAGAGTCATTTCAACTGAAAAAGGCGAAAGCAAAGCAAAAGAATTAAATGTTATTTTTGTGGAGACATCAGCAAAAAGTGGAGCCAACATCAAACAAGTATTCCTATTATTTATTTTATTTATTTATTCATGTTTTTCCCAGTTGTTTAAAAGAGCTGTCCTTGCCTTACCTTCAATGGAGATTGAAGAGGAGGAGGAAGAGGAAAATAAGAAAGAAGATAGTATCCACCTGAAGAGAGAGAGTGTGTGTGTACATATTTTATTGAGTTTTTCTTTAACTTTTGCTGATGAAGTTGTTCAAGTGACTCCGGTTGAAGAAGAGAAAGACCAATCCACTGTGTGTTGGTGCTAAATGGGATCCATTGCTCTACTGGCATGAGATACCATTAAAGGATAAAGTCTCATCTTGTTCTTGTCGCTACCAAGTCTCTCATCCCACTTTCCACAAAACTTTTTTTGTCACCTCAAAAAATTCGAATTTTTTATATATTATACACGAGGAATTAGAATAAAACTACTGTAAAATAATGTTAATTAATAATAAATCAAATATTATAAAGTCACATGGTCACACAAAACAGTTTCATTATTGCAAGTATTTGTTATTCTTTCTTTCTTGTCTCTCTCGGACCTTTAAATCCATCCAATACTGTTGTAATACCAAATAACCTTGCAGCTGCAATCGAAGCTTTTACTGGAAATATGCTGCATATTATAGAAGTTATTAATAGTAACAAGAGCTAATAATAGTAACTCACGATTGCATGACTAGAAATAGATAGAGGATCCTTGGCATGAGCAGCATCGACTGATTTGAATGATAGGCTCCCATTATCTTATCAACAGCATAATCAGTCTTTAGTATTGGCAGGAGATGAGGGACCCTACAAATTGAAAGAGAAAGAGCATGTGTGTAATGTATGAAATACTTTAAAGGAATTGATAATGAAAATGATATAGAAAATAAACAAATAATGACAATTCATGCACAAACATTGCATGAATTTGACACGATGTACATATATGGTGCGTACACATAATGTCATCCCTTTTCCCTCATCACTCCATTCATTACTTTGATCTAACTCCATCAAACATTCCTGTATCAATGAAAAAAGGACACACTACTGTAGTATGGACACCAGTGGATCCGTTAGCCTCTAGCTCTAGCGTTAGGGAGGAGTGGGTTCCTATAGCACCAAATTTTGAGGAACAGTAGTCCACCATGCCAGGGACACCAAAGAGACCTGCCCCTGAGGCTATTGTTATGATATGACCGTGATTCTTGGATATCATATCAGGGACAAATGCCTTTATAGTCTAAAAAAAAATAATAATGATGATGATGATGATGATGATAATAATCATTTAGTGGGTTTTAGGTTTTTGTTTTGTTTTTTGTTATGCTACAGTTCTTATTAGGTCTATTTGGTTTTTTATTTTTAGGGTTTTTTTTTCTTCAAGAGTAAATAATAATGATGATGATGATAGTAGTAATAGGCTCTTTCTTTCTCATTCTCACCCAGAAGTGAGCTATTGTGTTCACGCTAAAGGTTTTCTCAATCATCTCGTCACTCAGCTCATATATCTTCTTTCCAGTTATGATACCAGCATTATTGATAAGAACAGTGACATTACCAGCATCTCTTTTAACCTAACAACAACAACAACAATGATAATAATAATAATAATAATAATAATAATAATAATACTAATATTAATTAAGGACTTACTCTAGCTGCTGTCTGATAGATCTCCTCTTTGTTACTGAGGTCACAGGTAAAAGCAATAGCTCTGCCACCCTCCGCCTTGATCTCTTCACAAACTCTATTATTTGTCTCACTGTTAATGTCCCACAGCACAACCTACAAACATTAGTAGCAGTAAAATAATTACCAGTCAAAAGGATCATAACTATCGTATAGCTGGGGGTAAAATTTTGGCAAATTTTAGTGATTAGCAGGTTTTGATTTGACAAATTTGTGGTCACGTGCCATCAAGGATAGCATGAACATAATGCTTTAAAATGAACTGCCCCTCCAAAATTACCAGTTATTGCTTAGTTTTTATTAATTTTAGCTCACGCTAAAGTCTTATGCTTAGATATTGACTGATATTTAAAGTTGCATTGCTTACTAAAGCTCCTAGACTAGCAAATCTTTTCGCCATAGCTGCCCCTATCCCGCTTCCAGCTCCTGTGACGAGGACTATTTCATTCTTAACGTTCTTCTTTTGTACCGGCATGAACACTGATACTATTCCCACAAGTGTCAACCATATAAATTGAGCTATCCCTCCTAATGTTGCAGTCAAAATAGACCCAATGTGCTGAGCAGAAGATCTGTTTCTGTTTGGCCTGGTCGCCATCTTGTTGAAAAGCAAGAGCAGCCCCACCTACCAAGAAAAATCGCTTCTTTTCCGGATTTTCCCGTTTTCCTGTGCCATTGCTCCGCCTATAATTCGAATAATTGGAACAATAAATTGAAATAAATACTTGTTTACGGTACATTTCACAGGCACGTGGGGCAGTAGCCAAAAGGAGGCAGTTCTTCTCTGTTCCTTTCTTTCTTTTTCTCGGAACCCTTTCAAATTAGTCAGTAAGTACACGTCTAAAGATTAGAGGCGTCTTTTAGAGAGATGAAACGTGTAGAGTGACATATTATATAATAATTTATGATATTTACCACTTACCTAATTAATAACTCATTAGTGATTATGTATATATACATGTATATATAATGTACTTCACTTTTAGTTTCAAGTGTCATTTATATAAATTTAATTGTAATTGTCGTCTGTTCTTTTAATGATATTGTCACTGTTGGGTATTGAGGGAGTTTATGGGATTCTGTTTAGGTTTCCCATTTTTCAGTTTTTTGTCTCGTATTTAGCCTAGGTGTCCTTAAGCCTTCTTAAGATTGGTCTCCCAAAATTTTTATTTTTAGATCTTACAATGAACTGATAAAAATGTACCTGTACTTTATTTACATGTACATACGTTGTTATGTTTTTGTGTATTTTTATAGTTTTTTTTTAATTTTATTTTAAAACTGCGGAACAATCAGCAAGGAAACAGCAACTTTCGTCGTTCATGGACCAGGTAATATAATAATAATAATAATAATAATAATAATAATGATGATGATGATAGTAGTAATGTTAATTATATATTGTATCATTTTTGTTTAATTATTCATAGTGTAATATTATTAATGAATAACAATAACAGCATTCTCTTTGTGTACAAGTTGTTTATAAACTTCACAATAAGTGATAAATAGACCTTTATGTTGTGATTACTTTTAAAATTAGTTATCTAACTACAAATTACCTGTAAGTTAAAAAGTTAAGAACTGGCCATGTGTGAGACTAAGCCTTCTGAAATGTAATTACAGTATATATGTAGCTAGAATTTCTGTGGCCCGAAATTTCTGCTAATGGAAAAATTGCAGAAATTTACTTGGCCTATTAAATTTTATTGGCCTATTTACATGAAAGGCATGGTGAATTCACCAAAATAAAATCTGCAAAAAAGCCATTTTGATGGCAATTTGCAAAATATTTGTGCCACAGAAATTCCTAGCCGTACAGTATAATTCTGTTCTGCCTCCCTCCCCCAATCATTGTTTCAGCAGAACTCGTTTGCACTTTTATTGATTTATAATAATGTTGGCAGATGTCTCATTTCTGCTGTTTCGAATTTTGCCTTTCAACAGAACTCATTTGCACTTTTATTGATATGTAATGATGGCAGCCATCTCTTTTCCACTGTTTTGAATTCCAGCTTACATGTTCATCCATTATTATTATTATTATTTATTATTATTATTATTATTATTATTCTGCTTATAATAATTATAATGATTATTGTCCAAGTATGTGCTAAGTTTCTTTGGAATTGGAACTAGAATCACATTTTGATTAGTTTTATTTGTTTGTTGTGTTGGAGTGGCAACTGTTAGCTTGAAATGTTTACGTACATGTATGTGCCCATCGTCATTTAACACTTCTTTATTCTCTTTTATGTATTCTCTTGCATTTTTTAAAGGTGCGATCTGATCAACAAAGTAAGTGACATTAACAAAGAGAGGGAGAGGGTGGGAGGAGAGAGAGAGAGAGAGAGAGAGAGGGAGAGAGGGAGGGAGAGGGAGAGAGGTGATGTGTGTGTGTGTGTCATTACTTTTTATATTAAAGGTGCAGAGAATGCTCCAGTATCAGCAAACAATGATGTAGCAGTCCCTGTAAGTTATAAAACACTAATCAAACATGTCAAATTTCCTCCCTCCCCCTCTCTCTCTATCAGTTACAAGCAGACCAGCAACAACAACTATTAACTGAGCAGCAACCTCTAATCATGACATCGGCTTTATCAAATTCCAGTCTACCACTAACTTACACTAATTCCGATCCATTGGGAGGCATTGGAGGCATGGCCGCAGTACCAACGTACAATCCCTTTAGCTCAGGTGATGGCTCATGGACTCCTACATATGATCCACTCCTGGGCGGGTTTAGCTACACTGCTCCAGGTGGGACCCCAGCATCAAGTCTACTCGCTACTGGACCTCAGGCTCTTCAGAGCCAGTTCTTTTTTCCAGGTGCCGCCGATATAGGAGTATGGAATCAGGACCCCCTCTTGATGGGGAATTCTTGGTTGATGGGTCTGGATCAGAGTCAAATTCCAGTAGCTGCTGGACCCCCGGCTGGTACATCCCCCCTTGCTGTTGATGGATCTGTTATTGGAGGGCCCCCCATTGATCCTTCTGTGGGGGCCATTGGACAGTCTTTTGGAGGAATGACACTAAACGGATCTGTTAATATAGTCCCTGCCGGCCCCACCATACTAGCCGGCCAGCCCATTGTTAACGATAGCGTCCTCTCTGTTGTCATGCCACCAGCACCGGTAGCCCCACCCGCTCAGCCCGAAAAACCAAAGTCCTGGGCGGCAATCGCCAGTCAACCGGCGAAACCAAAACCGCCTCCGCCTAAGACAAATGAGACTTTTGAAAGCTCAAAGAAGCCACAAGCACGTACTAATCCAGTTATGGCTAATGGAGGGCGTGGTCAGAAGAAGCCCGGGATTAAATCGGGCGGAGGCTCTGGTAATAAATTGGACGTTGTCAGTAAACTAAAGCTTGAGAATAACTACAATCCATCGGAGCTGACAATCAACATGAACAATGCAAGGTTTTTTGTGATTAAGAGTTATGCTGAGGACGATGTTCATCGCTCGATTAAGTACAACGTTTGGTGCAGCACGGACCACGGGAACAGGAGACTGGACACAGCCTTTAAAGAACAGAAATCAAAAGGAGGCGGGGTCTACCTTCTCTTTAGCGTCAACGGGAGTGGCCATTTTTGTGGCGTGGCCCAGATGATGTCAGAGGTTGAACTAAGCACCGATACAGGGATATGGACACAGGACAAGTGGAAGGGACGGTTTGACATTCGATGGATTTATGTAAAGGACGTCCCCAACAACCAACTGAGACACATTAGGCTTGAGAACAATGAGAATAAGCCCGTCACTAATTCTAGAGACACTCAGGAAGTGCCCGTGGACAAAGGGAAGTTGGTCATCAAGATCATTCATTCCTATCAGCACACGACTTCAATATTTGACGATTTTGAGCATTATGAGAAGAGACAAGAGGAAGATGACACTCCACCCTCTGCCCCAGCGTCAACCTCTACCTCTACTGCTTCTAATAATAAAAAGGTATTATTATTATTATTATTATTATTATTAATATTATTATTATTATGAATGCGAAACATAGGTTAGGGATAAGAAATACAAAAATTATTATTTTATTGTATGTGTACCGTGTAGTTCCAAATTTTTGTGGATCAGATTTTTTTATGGAAAATTCAGAAAAATTTTAGTCACGATTATCCTATCCCATTTTTGAAAATCCCAGTCAAATTAAAGAAATTCTGACCATGGACATATGGAACTGTAACGGTGTATTGTTACTTTTACCCTGAGTAATAATTGTAACGTGATATGAGGAAGTGTAGGTCAGGTGTGTTACTGTATCTTCTGATAGTGTCATGTCCTTTTATGTGCATGTCCTCTACCAGCTGTCTTTTGTTAATCTTCTTCTCTTCTAATCGTACCACTAATTGCTGGGATGACTCTGCAAGTCTCTGTGTGATGTCATTTGCTTTTGATGATATTTTGGTTTGATGATCATTATTTAATTATGCAATGTACATGTACTTTTGCTAGAGTTTCTGATTGACATTAATATTGTGTAATATGCTCTTGTGGTGTAGTGTAATGATTTCATGTGTACTGTGCAGTGGCTGATTTAGGGGGACCCTGGGTTCCATGGAGCTCCCCTTTGGCATAAGAAGCTGTCTTTTTGCAGTATTTTTCCTCCATTTTATTAGTACTCTTGTGGTGTAGTGTAATGATTTCATGTGTACTGTGCAGTGGCTGATTTAGGGGGACCCATGGGTTCCATGGAGCTCCCCTTTGGCATAAGAAGCTGTCTTTTTACAGTATTTTCCTCCATTTTATTAGTACTCTTGTGGTGTAGTGTAATGATTTCATGTGTACTGTGCAGTGGCTGATTTAGGGGGACCCATGGGTTCCATGGAGCTCCCCTTTGGCATAGGAAGTTGTCTTTTTGCAGTGTCTTTGCAGGATTTTTCCTCCATTTTATTAATACTCTTGTGGTGTAGTGTAATGATTTCATGTGTACTGTGCAGTGGCTGATTTAGGGGGACCCATGGGTTCCATGGAGCCCCCCTTTGGCAAGGAAGTTGTCTTTTTGCAGTGTCTTTGCAGGATTTTTCCTCCATTTTATTAATACTCTTGTGGTGTAGTGTAATGATTTCATGTGTACTGTGCAGTGGCTGATTTAGGGGGACCCATGGGTTCCATGGAGCCCCCTTTGGCATAGGAAGTTGTCTTTTTGCAGTTTCTTTGCAGCATTTTTTCTCCATTTTATTAATACTCTTGTGGTGTAGTGTAATGATTTCATGTGTACTGTGCAGTGGCTGATTTAGGGGGACCCATGGGTTCCATGGAGCCCCCTTTGGCATAAGAAGCTGTCTTTTTGCAGTATTTTTCCTCCATTTTATTAGTACTCTTGTGGTGTAGTGTAATGATTTCATGTGTACTGTGCAGTGGCTGATTTAGGGGGACCCATGGGTTCCATGGAGCCCCCCTTTGGCATAGGAAGTTGTCTTTTTGCAGTTTCTTTGCAGCATTTTTTCTCCATTTTATTAATACTCTTGTGGTGTAGTGTAATGATTTTATGTATACTGTGTAATGACGGATCTAGGGGGATCTATGGGTTCCATGGAAGTGATGGAACCCCCTAGATCATCTTTGCAGTTTCTTCACAGCACTTTCTTTGCAGCACTTAAAATTTAAGATCCACACCCAACTATTAATTAAAATTAATGAGCCACACCCACTGAAGTAAAATGGAACTTCCTTTTCATTTTTCTGGATTCGCCAGTGCTGTAATTGGTTTTAATCATGTTAGCATGAACTACATGTATAGTTCATGGTTATCACTTGTTTTTATTAATTGGATTTCCTGATGCAATTGACACCCTTTTGCTACAGTATGTAGAAAGTTCAAACTGGTTGCAAAAAAATTTCCGGACTTGTGATGTTTTTTTAATAGTAATTTTTCATAAAAAAGACTGCACGTATGGCCAATGTTTTTTAATGGGCCCTGAATTTTTTTAGAACAGGGTTTTTCTAATTGCTCAGCACGCTGCTTCTTGTCAGTGGATTGTCATGTTGCTCAAAAACTGGCCCAAAGACCCTGTACTACTGTATAGCGAGAAATTGTTGTGGCCCAAAATTTTTGCAGATCCGTCTAAAAATCAATTTCGTGGCTTTAATTTTCGTGGTTTTCTACTTTTTGGCCATATTGAACCATATTAAATTGATTTTCATGGATTTTATTTTGAAAAAATGTGAAATCCATGAAAATTTTGGGCCATGAAAAATTCCCGCTATACTGTATAGTGCAAGGTATTTTGACAAAAATCACAATGAGAGAATTTGCCATTTTTATATTATTTTCTGATACACATACATATGTACATGTCTGATTTCAATCGAATTTGGATTTTGTATGAATTTTTAAAGTTGCTCCAAAATTGGGCCAACGACCCAAGGCTATCTATAGCCTTTGGTCATCGGCCAAATTTCATCAAAAATGGCTACGAGAGAATTCTCCACTTTTATAATTTTTTTCTGATACATGTACAGTACATGTCCTTATGTTGTGTATCAACTTTGAGTTGATTCCAATTAAATTTGAATTTTTTATGAATTTCTAAAGTTGCTCCAAATTCCATGTACTTGTATAGTAGTACTTGTCAGCTCACTTTAGCATGCTTTATGGGAAACCAGCTTTGATCAACAAGTCTAGTGGATATAATTTGTATATTCAATGCACGCGTATTATGTAAAGCTCTTGTAGTGCGATGACAATATCTACATATATGTACAATATTATATCATGTATACATGTAGCTCTTTTATTGCAGTCACAATAACTACAATGTACATATATGTACAATCTCTAAGCCCCATTGTTGTCTTCCACATCATAATGGTGATGATGATGCAATATTTGAGAATCCTGATTGATCAATTGTATTGACATATGTTATATGCTGCTACCTGCACACTTCCTAATTTAGAAGGGAAGAGATCATGGCACTAGAAAGGATAAAGACTTAGAAATGCCAATCATTATTATTGCATTATTATTAGCATAAACTTGTTAAATGTGTCATATTTAAGCGATTTGTACTTGCCTGACTAACATCTGCATGTCTGCTTCATTACATTAAGAACATTCTGCTAAGGGAATGTGTATATTGATGACCAGCCAATTCTGAGCATATAACTCATTTTTAAGAGCTGGACAGAGTGATGAAGATGTTTCTATAAGAATTAAGAAGGACACCTTTATAATGAGGACAATTTTGTAATGTCCCGATTTGTAAAAGCCATTAAAATACTTCTGAATGAGAACCATTCTGTGTTAAGGACAGGTAGTGTGGGCCCAATGGTGCCCTTAGCAAAGCGGTTATGTCCCCTTTATTTTCCTATTGTGTTGTTTTTCCTTTGAACTTTTCATTATTATTGATACAATTTCATACACAGAAGTTAAAATATCAGTAAACAGCCTTGCAAGGGGAAACCTCTAAGAACATTCTTCTCATTTGCATGTAGGGAAGTAGGGAAGGATTGATTCCAAAGTGTTGGGACAAGCAGCCACTATGCATCTGTATACTAGTAGGAAGTTAGGAACTACTTGTAACAAACATTAGCACTGACAATCGACATATATAGCAATAGTAATTTGTTATTCCTGCACTCCTCCATTTTCCTCCTACTTTAAACTATACTCACATGATCTCTTACTTTATTTCCTTCCTCCTTTTGATGCCAATTAGACAATAGCTTGCATGACTTCTCATGTGTGTACGTGTTGTGTCTATTGTTTCTTCCTTCCAGGATTATGTAGATAGTAATTATCATAAGTATAGCCACATGCCATATGGCACTATTCATGTTTGTAGTAATGGCACTCAACCGTGTTATTGATAGTCCATTTAGTATTCACCCTTTAATGTATGTTGTTATAGTAGTATTTTATGTATCTCTCTTTCTCCCTCTCTCTCTGTCTCTCTCTCTGTCCCTCTCTTTTTCTCTCTTGTAGGATTCAAAAAGATCTTAATTGATAATACCTATTATAGTATTCTAATACTAAACATTATTATTATTATTATTATTATTATTATTATTATTATTATTATTATTATTATTTGTTGTTATTATTTGTTATTATTATTTAAATTTTGAGACTGGTTTTTGAAGTCTTTTTAATTTTTGACTGATCTTTAAAAGAGGAAGAATCTGTTTTTTCTAATAATAATAATAATAGTGATATATAATGATTATTTATTAATATAATTGTTATTAATTTATTATGCATATTGTAGCTATATTGTCTATAATTATTATTTGTCTGTCTCTTTTTTTGATATTTTCCTTTTTCTCTCTTTTTTTGAAATTATTGTAACCTGACAAATTGACAATAGAAGAAATATGCTTGATTCATAACAAGTATCCTTTATATCACATTTGGAATTCTTTGTCACAAATGAATCTTATCAGTTCTTATGTAATTATCTACTATATAAGTCTTGAGATATCTGTTCCTGATAATTTGGGTCGTGTCATATCCCTTAGACTTCATTACACTGGTATGTGGATGGGATGCTCTTGTTTGCACACTCCTGATATTAGATGTAGCATCTTTATAATTTCGTTTATGTTGTTTTTGTTTAACGTTTGTTCTCGGTATATTTGGATGGAAGCCTCCAAAGCTGACTCTGTTATTGTATAATTTAGTCTGAGAGTTGTGAAGTATTTATTTGTGCATAAGGTATGGCAGACGAATTCAACATTATCAGTGTGTAATAGATAGTGAAGAGAAAAGGAGATAAAACTATTAATAATCACAATATATATCATAATTGTAAGAGATTCTATCATATATATATATATATGTGGTATATTTTTATTTCATGACTTTGTGTGGAGGAAGTAAAACAGAATTATTAATAAATAAGAGCATTTCAATGATGTGTCCTTATATGCCAGTATACGTGATTGAGGATTCCTTTTTAATGAGAAGAGGTAGCCGGAGGAGAAGAGTAAGAAGGTGTTATTGAAGGTAGGAGACTGTATGTCGGACAAGTTGAGCAGGTATGAAAATCCCAATAGAATGGACATGGCTGTGGAGCAAAGTTTTTGAGTGAGTCAAATAATTCCTGATTGGTTTGGAGCGGGTTACATTTTGGACTCAAGTTACAGAATATCCAAGCGCACTGTTTAATGCTAACGTGTCCGTCCTGTCGTCCAAGTGTGTAATTTTTTATTATGTTGCAAGTGTTTTCTAGTTTCTCCAGTAGGGATATTTGTATAACAAAAGAGAGAACGCTCGCATGGTTTGAGCAGTTGATGTCCTCATTCAAGGCACTGTTGACCTGGAGAGAAAAAAAAAGAGGAGACATAAATAGGCTTTCTTATTCTGGCAGTAATTAGCTTTATATCCTTACCCAATAGCAATAGTCCTTCATGACATGTTCTATCATTAGTCTGCTGGCCAATATGTCAGAGCTGTTTTGACCATTCATCTCAAGCTCCTCTAACTTCTTGTCTTCTTCTAGCATCCCTTTTGCCATCTTGTGCATCTCAAGAAATATCGTGAGTAGATTGCTGTCGTCTTTCAGACTACGTAAATATCTATTTTTCTATAAGAGAGAGAGAGAGAGTTCATACTAATGCAGTCTGTCCAATTTTTAAGGTATAGATGTTTTTAGCTTTATCACACACAGAATCAAAAGTTCTTACCAAAATGAATTTCATACTACAAACTCCTTCTGTGAGTTGCTTGTTTTGTTGTTGAGTAGGAGCTGCAGTCACCACACACTTATTGCCAATGGTGATACTTAAGAATAGGAGGAGAGTGGAAGCCCTGAGGAAAAAGAATAGAGTAGCAGCCATTTTTATACTGAGTTGACAGATTGGAAGTGAATAGAGATTTTTGCAATATTTCTTTAATTTAGTACAAGCTGTGAGTGGACCTCTTGGAGGATGCATGTCATTTGAAGGACTGCAATCTTTGCTTTTATAGGCTGAGACTGGGACTTACATGCACTCATTCCCAGAATCATAGTTCAGGTTCTAATTTTGTAGGTCCATATAGGCATGAAGCTAGTGCAGAAACCTTAGACTGTAACAGGCTATGCAAAAGGATGTGGAAGTGACAGCTGCTGCATCCTAAACAAATTAAACACATGCACATCTGCTCAATTCAGTGAACACCACAAGGAGCATGTTATCATCCACCAGGTTAGACTGTAGATTTATAGGCTCACCAGCTTTGTTTATATAGTAAGCTAAGCTGATCTATTTATGTATTATGCATGTGTATTCCACCATTCATTATTATCTTGTTCATAATGTTCCTGTGATAACAAGATTGATATAATTTACATGCTTATTGAATTGCATAGTGTCTGCGGCTTGAGGCAAAGCGCGATGAATTTGAATAAAATTGCTAGTAACAATTGGGGCATGACATCATAGTAGAATGCCATTATAATGCAGTACGTATTGATGGCAGCTTACTTCAAAGTGCACTGTAATGATTGTGACGTAAGTAATAACAATCACAATAAGGTTTCTGTTATGCAAACAGCATATCTCTAGCAATACTGACCAACAAGCTACAGTATATTGACTGGAACTGAAAAAGGAGGAATATTAGAATCCAAAAAAAATTAATCATTACTCTGAACAGAAAAAAGACACATACATAATATGTACAAGGAAGCATGAGTTGGTAGTTGATAAAGTGACAAATTCATTTTTAAGTATCATGTTCGTTGACAATCATAGGCATGTTTTCTTGTAATTCTGTAGTAAAATCAAACTGGAATCGCTTAGACAAACTAGTCTTGAACATAGCTGCTTTTTCCTTTAAGGTAGAGTTCAAGGAATCCCCTTCTTGGATGTTTGTAAAAAATACCTATACTCATTTATAGACATACGTATAAGGTGAGAATATAATAGGGGACACAATGAAAGAGGAAATGGGAAATATACCTGAAGTGTGCTTGTCAGAAAGTTGTCACTGGAGATTATGTCAACAAAAAATTGCTCCGGTACCTCTCTTAACTGAAAATGAAGGACAGTCATGAAGTTAATGAAGAGATGTGGATGGGCCGAGAGGGCAGAGTCTGAGAGACACAAAACTCTAACGAGCGTCTTCCACTGCTCAAAACCACCGTACACTATCAAACAAAAACAGTTGATGAGTATAACAATGTGCTGTAGTGTATGTGCTGTAGTAAGTAATCCAGTAACAAGACGATTTATTGGCAAGAAATTAATATTCATGATTGGCAGAATAGCCAATATAAAATCCACCATTTTGCTTCAATCTGAGTATGCTCAATGACACGTGGGCCGAAATCGCCAATACAAAATTTATTGCTTACTTTCCACAGACAAATTTGGTAAATATAACTCTTGTCGATAAATCATCTCGTTTGGTGCTTGGCAACAGCAAAACAAAAAAAACCCTAGCTAATGGCAAGCAACTGCTGGCATAACCAGACCAATTAGATAATACGTTCCAGACTTGACATGTAGTAACCAGCCTATTATACAAATTGATGGAAGCTGGATAAATTCTGCACAGCATTAATCACATTAGCTATTGGTGTCATCACAATTCATAGCCACACTGCACAATGGACTATAGCTTATGTCACCAATGATGTGAATGGATGATTACGGTAAGTGTACATTAAGTGAGCCACTTTATGAATTACTATGAACTGCAAAATGGATAAGAGAACAAAGCAAGCGCATTCCTTTCTTAGAAATGCATGACAAGAGTAATATAATGATAAGGTTTCTGTGGATTACCATGCAAAATGGAAGCTACAGTATAATTATAAACTTTATGTTTATAAAATGAAAAGATTAACTTTATTAGGATTAGTTCCAAAGAGTTTCTGTATGCATAGCATACCTTGTCCAACTAGGAAATAAACAAATGACAACTGTAGTTCTCCTAATATATAACCCTCCTGCTCCTCTGCCTTCCCTATAAAGAAAAAAATGTGTGAGAGAAAAGGAGGAGAGATAGAGGGAGAGAGAGGGAGAGGAAGTTAGAGAATGTGAGAGAGAGGGGAAGGGAAGAGATTACCATTATATCCTAATATCAATTGTTCGAGCGTATATGACAAATCTAAGCTATGGTGACTGATCTCTGTGGGTGAAGCTCCAGGAGGATACTTAAACTTTGGAATTACACTAAATCTACATGATTGAAAACATCAATAGTAAATCATACACAATACCTAGATACTATGCACTCTTGGTAATTATACTAATGCATGCTGACATTTGTAAACAACGGATATCCTATCATACTATAACAATGTGTTATTGGTATTTTTATTTACTACACATTCTATTCCAATACCTCAAATACGTACATTCCACATCAGTTGTTCCTTCTTGTTTCCTCTTCCCTCCTTCTCCCCCTCCACTTTTAATTGTATGACTGAACTCGCCGACACCAGCAAAATAGCCACTACACGTACTGGTGGGTGGAGCTTCAGTAGTGGGCGGGGCTAGTGATGTAGGTGTGGCTTGTATTTGCTCTAAAATAGATGAAATGACGTACATAATACATACATATTATAATATAAATGTTACTTTACAAGCAAATCC